ACCTGCTTTGGCAGGGGGTTGGACTCGATGATCTCTAGAGGGCCCTTCCAACCCCTACAATTTTGTGATTCTGTGAAGTCTGTAGAAAAGCATCTATTACCAGCAGCTAAAACCTGTCTTGCGAATGTCAGATCTGTAGCTGTCAATTCAGCACCCCGTGACGGTACATAACTTTTAACCTAACTTAATTCAATGCCATTTCTCAGTTCTCCTTCTTTATTAGGGGTTTACTCTCCTTGGCCTTTCTCTTCTGAATAACGCACCTGTAGAATCCCTTCTTGTTATTTTTCATGTCTCTTGCTATGTTCAGTTCCATCTGTGCCTTGGCTCTTCTGATCTTGTCTCTACATGTCCAGACAGCATCTCTACACTCTTTCCAGGCCGCATATCCTTCTTCCACTATCTGTGCATTTCCTTCTCAGCTTGGCCAGCAGGTCCTTGCTCAGTCATGCTGGTTTCCAGCCTCTTATCCCTGACTTCTTACACATGGGGATGGAGAACTCTTGTGCTCTCAGAAAGATGTCTTTAAAGAGTTGCCAGCTCTGCTCAATTTCTTTGTCCCTAAGGACAGCTTTCCAGGGGATCTCATCCAATAAAACCTTAGACTTTTGGAAGTTTTCTTTTCAGAAGTTTAACTTTGACTTTACTTTTTCCCAGGCCCATATTCCTCAAGATCATGTACTCACCAAGAACACTGTTGCTACAGTTCAGATTCCCTCAAATCTTAGCCTCTTTAATGAGTTCGTTTGCACTGATGAACAGCAGTTATGCTTCTCCATCTAATGCCTGGACAAGAAAGTTCTCTTTAATGCACATCAGGAGTCTTCTGGATTGCTTGTAGCCTGTGTAGCCTGCTGTGTTCTTTCCCAGCAGCTATCTGTGTGGTTGAAATCTCCCAGCAGGATGAGAGCCTGTGTGTATGATGCTTCTTGTAGCTGAAGCAAGTTAGCCTTGTCATCAGGCTCCTCTTGATCAGGCAGCCTGTATTAGACTTCAACCACAAGACGTAATGAATGAGTCCCTGCTGCAGGAGACCACAGCACTCATCTGACCTATCAGCTAGAGCCAGTGATTCATCTGACCTACCAACTGGCAGCCAGGGGAGGTGCAGTTCTAGGATACTGTGTGGTACTGTTGAATCCTGTATACCTTTCTCACTACTACACCTTCCTGTGTTCTATGTGAGAACAAACAGTACTGCTAGGGAAAACCTCTGGCATCTGACAAAGCTCTAAGGAAAGTAAACAAAGACATGGAGTCCAGGTGTTTTTCTCTTGAATCCTGCTCACAAGAGGAAATGCTGTTAGAAGGAGGGCACAGACAGTGTGTAGAGCAAACAAAGGTGATGACAGAGCCTTTATTTGAGATATACGTGCTACAAGAAAAGATATCAAAGATTGAGGAATTAACTCACCCCTCCAGCAGCAGGAGAAAGGGGCGAGCTGAGGAATGCAGCCTTCTCCCGTTCTTACTCTTGTGCCACAGGAGAAAGGCGGGGGGAGGTAGGGGGGGAGGAACCCACACTGCACATGCACTCCCAGAAGCACTCCCCGCCCTCCACTCCAGGCATTCATGTGCTCACATATTGGTTCAGGCTGTGACCTAGGAATTCCACTGCATAGTCAATATTTGGTTGTAAAACTAGTGTTGATGATGTGGTTTTGGTTTTATGATAATGGGACCCTGTTTGTGGATCAGCATCTGCTTGGGAGAGATGAGTTGCAGCTCATAAAGTGGAGCAAAACTATATTTTAAGTGGGACCAATATATTTAAGTGGGGGATTGGGACCATAAAAGCAACAAAATGGGGTTTAAGCAGGATCAGCACCAGCTTTGCATGTAAACAAAGAAGTGACAAGGCACCATTATGGAGAAATTCCCCAACCCCCTTATGGGAATCTGGCATTCTAGGGTGACCCTCATAAATGGTTGTTTTACTAAGGCAAGTACCGTGGTGAATGAATATTACAGTAACTAGAGATATGTGAAGTTTTACGGCTGTAATCTCACCAGAGTCATAGAGACGTAGTGGAATGCACTCATGACTAGAGTGTTGCAATGAAGTGATACAGGCTCTTTAGGAAAATGAGGAGCAGGAACTGTGCCTTTTGTTCCCAAGAGACCAGTTGGAGTGTATGGAGTTCTGCCTGGGGAAGGAGGAGTTGTCGACTGAGACCTTACAAGCAATCCAGTACTTTCCTAGAGAGCACTGCTGGCAAATTCCACCCTGAAATGATAGATGAGTCAAAATGGAGAGGTAATCTGTTGGATCTCATCCCGCTAAAAACAAGGCTCTTGTAGTGAATATGGAGGTCTTGGATGCTGTGACCATAAGATGGTGGAATTCTGTATCCTGAGGGCAGGAAGGATGGTAAAAAGAAAGGTCACAGCCCTGAACTTAGGGAAAGGAGACTTTGGCTTCTTTAAGAATCTGTGTGGAAGAGTCTCATGGCATGCACCCAAGAGTGCTGAGTTAGTATGCTGTGTCACTGTGAGAGCATTCCCAATAATCTTTGAGTGATCCTGACGACTGGGAGAGATGCCTGAGGCATCTTTTGCTAGAAAGCAAACATCATTTTTGCCTTCAGGTAGGGCAAGAATGAGGAGCCAGAGATCTACAGGCCAGTCAGTGTCACCTCCTTCCCTAGAAAGACGATAATCAGGTAAACCTGATGCCATTTCCAGGTATGTGAGGGACAGGAAAATCATCAGAAATTGTCAGCATGAATTTGGCATGGGAAAGTCATGCTTGACCAACTTGATAAACGTCTACATTGAAATGGCTAGGCTGATAACAGTGAATATAGTTTTCTGCACTTTGATAAAGCCTTGGACACTGTATCTCATAAGATTCTCAGACACAGACTGTTGATGTATGGGCTGGATAATCAGTGAGGCAAATTGACAACTGTCTGAATGATCAAACCCGGAGAATGGTGTTCAGTGATGCAAAGTCTAGTTGGAAGCTAGTAACTAGTAGTGTAGCTCAGGGGTTAATATATTTTTGAGCACTCTGGGTATGAATCTGGCTTCTAATTACTACGTCAGTATTTGATCTCTTCTCAGTGTTCTCACAGCTAAATGAAAATCACGCTTTTCTCATATGTCGTATCTTTTAGCACGCTCATCATGTTTCTGAGCCTCTGTTGAACTGGCTCATTCCAGATTATCTTTTTTTGTGCAGGGGAGCATAGAGTTAGGCACAGTACTCTGGTTTATTCAGTGGTCTGATCTGAAAACCTTTGATTTGAATCAGAGACAGCTGGAAAACTCAGTTGTATTTTCAACATCCAAAGTCTGTACAGTATTATTACATGCTGATAAGATTTAGAAAGGAAAATAGCAGATGATGGTATGAGATAAAATGTTTGTACTACCTACTTCTTTGAAGTTATGTTTAGGAAACTACATGAAAATAAACGTATTTGAGGAAGAGTCATGTTGGTGGCATGGACATACTGCCTGAGCCACAGTTTTAAGCTTCACATTATACTCAGAAATGCATCTATTGTAAGAATCTTGCATTGAGAAAAATTTAAATTCCTTTCTGTTCTTTTATAGGAGGGTGTAATTTGCTTTTCTTTCTGATGCCTTCTTGAACTTATTGCTAGCCAGATGTTGTGCCTGTTTTTTGCCACTCTTGCATTTCTACTGAGGCACTTCTTTAAAGAATCCTTTTTGGCACCTGCTGTAGCTCTCTGTACTTAAGGCTGTCTTTTCTGAGTTAGTGGAAACCAAAAAAACAAACTCCTTGACCTTTTCAAAGCAATGTCCACAGTGAAAGGTTTGAGATGCTTGCCAAAAATGAAAGTGCTCTACCATGTGTTAAACGGAATATCAAACCCATAACTGAGATGCCATTCAGAATATAAGCATAGGGTAATTCACCTCCATCTCTCTAAATTTAGATATCCATGCAATCATACATTAAATAAATGTGCAAGTTTACATCCATCTTGTTTTCTAGATCATTACATTACATCAAGTAATGACGTAAACTGCTCTAGTATTGCGAGAACTGGACATCAATCCTTCAGTGCATTGGGAGTGTTTAGAAAAGTTAAGTAAAGCTTTGTAGTATGATTTTTATTTTGTACTTAGAAGTACTAGGGACCAAACTGTCTGCTGCTTATTTTGCTGTTCCAGAAGAGATTAATTTTACAAGCTTAAATTTCCATAGTGTGGTGGCATGAGTTTCTTCCAAATTTTCCCATTAACACTACTTTACATATTCTACAAGCATGAATAAGATTGGTACAAGCACTGAGGGTAGAATACAGGATCATTCTTTTTCTGTCTGTGGAAGCATGTGAATGTGTATTACAGGTTTAATAAAATCAGCAAACGTTGAATACATGCTGAAAAGTTAACCAAGAAGATATTTGTTCTTGCTGAAATGGGAGCTCCATGGTAAAAAAAATAGGTTATACTCTACCCTCTGAGAATAATTCATACTTTGAAGAAACAAGGTATAAAATATAAAGTCACTGTGTCACCATCTCCTTCCAGGGCATGTGTCTTTGAAGCAAAAGTCATCCTTTCTGATTTTATTGAGCTAACAAGTGGCTAAAATGAGGGAATAAGAACAGGATTGGAATTGTATTTTTAGCATCATTTACTAAAAAATTCCTGCAAATTTTTATTCTAGTTTTCCAGATGTTTTAAGTTAAAGAAGTACAAATATTGCCTCTTTTATGAACTTGTCTTTTTTTTTTTTTTTTTTAATAACTTACATTTCTATGTAGGAAACTATTCCCAAAATATTAACTGTATTTAAATACTTTGCTTGAATATGAAATAGGTTAAAATATAGATATGTACATGAAAAGATGAAGTAGTCTTAATATGTGAATATATGATGTTTATCCAAATGCATTGCTTTTTGATTGGATTATTGCTTTCTATGATCTCCAGATGATGTAGATATCTGATAGTAGATACATCCACAGTGTAATGTTAATGAGAGTTACAAATAATAATAATATTTTTCTTATCAACAGATATTTCCTGGACTGATTCTATCAGACATTAAGCCCGCCAAAAGAATGAAGTTCAAGACAGTCTGCTATCTGCTTGTTCAGCTCATGCACTGCCGTAAGATGTTCAAAGCAGAGATCCCTTTCTCCAATGTCATGACATGCGAAGATGATGATAAGGTAATTCATGTGGACAGATACTTGCTCTGATTATATATGGGATTGCCTGGCCAGCTCTTTCTGGTGTCCTAGCATAAACATCGAAAGAACATCCTTGAACAGATTTTAATGCCATAACTCATCATTCTAGCAGCTTTATCTGCTAGTCTAACTTTTCTGTACACGGCTTCACCCGGAAACTTACAGAGTAAAAAACACATGAAGACTTGCTCTGTTTTCTTTGCTAGCAGGTGACAGTATAACATATGCCACTCCATTGGTACTCCAAAGCAGAAAAAGAGTGTAATGAAATCGGCTATTAATTTTGAATTTATTTCTCCACTTTTTTTTTCAATCTATTTTTTATTATTATTTGAATAATGTACATTTATTGAAGATTCAATCTAAGTCTTATTTTCAGAAAGTTTTATAACTTTTCTATTTTCGATTTTATGTATGCACATATTTCTTCTGTGGGAGAAACGGAGAAAATTCTGTTAGCTCCTTTAGAATGCAGCTTCAGTGATTAAGTCCAGAAATTCCAAATCTGGTTCGGAAATGGATGTACTCTAGGTGCTTTGGTATGGCCTTTCAGTTGTAAATTAGTACTGTTCTTCTAGTATTTGAAAATAGCAACATACACAGACTTTGAAATACGTACAATTCTTTATAATGTTTCTCATAATATACACAAAAAATCCAACTATGAGATATGTTAGAACATATACAGTGAAGTTCTGAGATAATTTCTTTACCTGAACCAAATGATCCAGGATTTTGTACCTGAAACAGTATATTTAACTTAGAGCATGATATAGGATATATCATTTTAATATAAATACACTGTGTTTCAATTTAAGGTTTATTCAGAGATTGAAGTTTCTGTCACGGAGTTGACCAGATCAATCTATGTCCGTGACAGGGGCGA